AATTTATAGGAAATAGATCCATCACACTTATAGGTGAAGTTTTTACAATTTATAGGAAATAGATCCATCACACTTATAGGTGAAGTTTTTACAATTTATAGGAAATAGATCCATCACACTTATAGGTGAAGTTTTTACAGTTTATAAGTATGAAATAAAAGGAGTGTTATACTTATTAAAGAATATGGCATCAATAGAAAATCTACAATTTTGACCCTATAGTGTCAATTTTTGGTCAATATCTCCATTTGTGGACTGCGAGAAGTAACTCATTTTGTCAGCCCGCCTCACAATATTTATTGCTCTTCCTTTCTTCAAGTATCTTTTATTTCTTTTGATATCTTGCTTTGTTCCTTTCTTTAAATTTTTTGTTTGTTTTTGTTTTGATTAAAGAAAAAAAGAATTTATCTTCTTAATTAATTGATTTGAATGCTTTTTTCTATTGAAATTTTGATGGTCACATCCAGAAAATAAGCAGTAATGTTGATTTTACTAATCTCATTAGCAAAGTTAAGAAGGTTAATCAAGTTCAATTAGATTTATTATTACATCTGATAACAAAAGTACCTCAGGTACGAAATAATAAATAAAGAATTGCAAAAGCTAAAGATAGTTTCAATGAAACGAGTGTAGTCTTGAAAAATAGAAATATCTCAATGACGAAGAAGATAAGACTTTAAAAAGGTTTTGTGTGGTCAATCGTTCTATCCGCTGGGAATGCCAAGTAATTACTAAAGTAAGAGAATATAAATTAGAGGTGAACAAAATGTTGCTTTTTAGGAGACAAAGAATGATAAGAAATCAAATGAGGTATTATTATTAGAAAAAAGCCTGCTTTTACTGACGCTGATAATATAACAATTAGAAAGAGATCGTCACAGTTCCTTGGACACTTGAATCAACTCAACAAAGGTTTTGCGTAGCTCGTTCTCACTGGAAAAATAGAAAGACTTGAGACATAGATTGTAGATCAAGATTAATTTACTCAAGGAACATGAACAGACCTGGGATGGGAAAAGATCAGGATGATAATTAATATAGGTTTTTTGAGAGCCACTAATGATTAGGCTATCGGTACCTGTTTCAGATTTGACTCATAAAGAAGGAGGTTACTATTGTTTTTATTATAGTGGTAATTGCAGTAGTTGCAGTAGTAAGAGTACTGTAGTAGTAGTAGTACCAGTAGTAATAGTAACAGTAGTCAAAATTGCAGTGACAATGATATTGCTTATATTTAGTATTGTTATATTTATAATCATGTTGTGATGACGATGATGATAATGATGATGATGATGATGATGATAATGATGATGACGATTGGGTGTATTATTTCTTCTAACCTTACCAATATTTTTATCATGGTTTGTTTTTCGACAGTTGTGGACACAGAAGTTTTGGAAGGTGCATCTCCCGAAGATTTGGCAGCAGCAGGAATAACCCAGAATGGAATCGACAGCGTGAAAGAAGAGAAAGCCGCAGAGAAAAACAACAATTAACATTCTAGACTCTTTTTCTTTAACTCAAAGTAAACTGTCTCCATGTGTAGGTTTGGAATTTTTTTTTTCTTCCTTTCTGTCGCTCTAAGATGGTGTCCTTGTGACGTGCGTACCCAGAATGCCCGTGTGAAATCTGTACTGTAGTAGAGAAGGATGGAGAGGGCTTGGGAAATGCAGCCATTGTGAAAAAGGCTTGTTGTGGTTTTTTCCTGAATGTGGATTGTTCATATGAGATGAAAAGAAGTACGGTAAATGAGTGACATGAATTGTTGTACTTTCCTGTTTGTATAGGAGCAAGAAGTTTTCTGCTGTCAAGACGTCTTTGTCTAAGCCTAAGCCTACATTATTTTTACCAACAAGGAATAGTCCTCCTTACTAAGATGGATAAGAGGTATATATAGCCTTATTTAATACTTTATCCTTAACGTTTCCTGTACAGTTTATTTACGGTGTTAAAAAACAGTAAAAAATCAAAGCTATGGTACCTTACAAACTTAAGTCTTTTCTCAAAGTATATTTAAGTCTTTTTAATCCAAAGGTGAGAGAGAAAATTCAAGGAACAGTGTATTTGTCTCTCGTGAATTCTTGGATTTAATCTGCTCCCGTAAATCTTGTGTGCAGAAGAAAAATAAATATGGTGGTCACAATGTTAATTGGAAAAGAGTGAAAAGACGAGTTGTTGCTGTCCAGGTTCTTATAGTCAGTGATTCAGTGAAATATTTTTATCATCTTCTCATCTACAAGCAAAAATATGCAACTCAAAATTTTCTTCACCCAAAAAACATTTTTCATATATGTCGTTATAGATAAGTTTGCAAATTCTTCCTTGTCTAGGCTGTCATTGCAGTCTACATGTGATATGAATCACTTGATTGGTCCATTTTGGTGTTGGTTTAGTCATCAGTTCAGAATCATACATATACTACATGTAAAGTTCATAACATCTGTCATGTTTTGACATACTACATCAAGCCTCAGTCTTTGTTCTGTTCATGCGTTCAGAGAGACCTTGTGGTTTCTCTAAAGGGGGCCAAAGCAACTGTCTTATATAATTCAGTGTAAACCACTAGTACATTTACTGTTATCACATCTAAAATATATGCAACATGTATATATACTATCTGCATTACTTAATAACAATAAATCTAAGAATATAGTCACTGAATTCGCAGAAAAATATATTTTATACAGCTTATCGGTACTCTTTTTTGTTATAACTTTTGAATAGCTCTATTTTGGTCAGATTTGCTTTTTATTTTATTTTGAAGAAATATGTAAAGATGATGATATGGTGGGCAAGATCAAATCGTATCGAACGAAGGAATTGAAAAGGCCGGCTCACAACGAAACGTGCCCCTGTGTAAATCTTAATAAAAGTTTTCCACTTGAAATAAAAGAAAAAGAACTCTTTTTTATTATTATCAGGAAGGTGAATATTCTCATGTTAATTTTTTAACTGTTCTGAAGAAAGAATGACAAACTACTCTTTATGAATTTCCTTAGGTGAAAATTTTCAGTGTTTATTCTTGCAACTGCATGCTTTGGGCACATGAAAATGTGCAGTCTTGTTTGTTTTTGTTACCAGATAAGGAATCCAAAGTGTTAGACTCTGATTTAACTTGTGTCTTTTTAAAGAAGGAAGGATATATCTTCTTCTTACTAGATTCATTTCAGTTGAGCGGAGTTTCTGCCAAGACTATGTTGTAGAAAAATTGGCAGCATTTTGTTGACCATTCCCATAGTGCATTTCCTGGGCTTTTAAAGAGGGTGAGGATTGTTGGCTGTTATTTGTTAACCTTTTTTGAATTGAAAAAAATTCAAATCTGTTTTTGCTTCTTGTGGAAGCATTAAGTTAATGAGATTATTTTGAAAGAAAGGAATATATTTTATGATTTTTTGCCTCCTTTATCTTATCGCTCGTGCTTTAAATAACTCGGACTGAGAGAGATGCATGAGATTGCTGTGCGAGTATTTGTCTATTGGATGACAAGTTTGTGTTTTTTGATAATGTATTGTGTTTTTATCCTTTATTTTGTTGCTCCTGCAAGATGGCTGTTGTGCTTTCTATGCTCTAAGTATCTATGCATCGTGCCTCATTTCAGGTTGTGAATGTGCATTTTGAGCACAGTTGGTCAGTGAATTTTTTTTTTTTTCATTTCTTTGGTCAGATTCTTTATTCTACTTTTTGTATTTTATTTTTAGCCCAAGAGTGATTTCCCATCTCTATTCTTTTGGCGTAAAATTTTAGCTTATCTTTTTCTCAACTCTATTAAAGTGTTTTCTGTTTTTGTTAAAAGAGCTTTTTTTTTCTTCCAGCATGTTTACCGGTGGAGAGTTCTGCTATCGTTTTTTCCATTGCAATATTACTCACTTTCTTTGTAAACTTTTTACATAAATTTGAACGGTGATCAGTGTCTCTTTCTCGGTAACAGCTGACATGTACAAAGAACTTTAGAGAATAAAAAAATGGCCAACTTTGTATGGGTTCATCATTTTCTACTTTTGTTTTATTTGGTCAAAATGTGGCTACGAGAACAAAAGTTTATTTAAACAACTATCAGGGTTATATTCCAAACTCATTATAACTCAATTTTCTCATTGAATATTTGCATCAAAATTTCTCTCTGTTGTCCCACTATTCTGCTCTTATCGAATTCGATAAAAGTAAAAAGTTTTATTAGTCATGAGCAGTCTATTTTCGTTGTGAATGAAATCTTTTCCAAAATTGCCTTGTTGGTGATGTGTTTGTAGCCGTACCGTACCAAGCTTTTCATGTGCAGGTGACATACTTGTTCCCCGCCACGATGCTTCCAACTTTCACAAAGCAGCCTCAGCTTTCATTGTCGCCAACTATCTGTGTCATTCTTATCAGTGGTCTATAATCTCACTTCTTCAAATGTTTTATTTGATAAATGTTCACAATTTCATTTGGTGGATGCTTGTTTCATAGACAAATATTTATTTCTTGTGGTTTCTGTCTCTATTTTGTTAACTTCTTTTACCCTCCCCCCTCCCCCCCCCCCTTTCTCAACTTATTATTTATCTCCTCCTCTTTTTTCTCACTCTGTACTCTAGTCTCTCTTGTCTTTTCCCTCATTTAATTCTGAAAAAATAAGCACCAACCCAGATGCCATCATACATACAAACACAGCAGACACACACTCCCTTACATTCCCTCAAGTTGCTCCTATTTACAGTGTACAAAGTTTCTGTATGTTCTTTGCATCTTTTGTCCTGTATAGGTACTTTAATTACGGTACTGCGTTCTCCTCTTTTCGAAACTTGACTGATTTCCTCTCCATGATGTTGAGGTAAAAACAATACTTTTTCTTCCCCTGTCTTTCCTAACTGAAGAATGTATTCTCGTAGTTTAGCTGTAGTTTCTTCCTCCTTCCTCCTCGTTTTTCGTATTACATTGAGCGACAGAAGTCTCACACTGGCAGTGTGTTTCTGTTTTCCGTTTTAGTAAAGAGTTTTACAGCTCTTGCAACTCAAGTTTAGGTCATACATGACTACAAGTGCTGAAGATTAGAGGAGTTATGAGACAGTAACTTACAAAGAAAAGAAGGAGGAGACAGAAAGATGATGATAGATATTTGATAGGAAAGAAGCAAACCACACCAGAGCGCTTGACAGTCACTGGATGTTTCACCCTGAAGAAATCAAGATCAAAATTAATCAGAAGAGTGGACAACTGTCTTGTCAAATCTCCATCAAGGTCAAAGGTTAGAGTAATAAATAAAAGAGGAAGAACATTGGTGATGTCATTCCTCCCACACACCTACTGTGACAGTGGAGATCTTTCGGTCCCCATCATTAGAGCTATGTGAATCTCATGAAAGTTCCCACAGGAAAGTCTAACATTACTAACAAGTTGGGTGGAAGAGTTTTTAGAGTCAATAACTACATCTAGGTTCTGGACTCACAAAACTGCAAATCTGCTGGAAACCCAAGGAAAGTTAGAATCTCATCTTCATGGGAACGACATTGTTTATTAATTTTATGTTGAAAGGGTAACTTTCTTCAGTTCTTTCTTCTCCTCGCTTTCGTCTGAAAACCTCAGAGAACTGTATGCCAGTATGAAATTTTTCTATCCCATACCCTTCTTCCATTTCTGCCATTCTTTTGATATGTGTCCTTCTCACAGAGCAGACCATACGATTACATCCTCGCTCATTCCACTGTGTCATTCTCTCATTCTGACAAACAAATGTATACAGACTGTATTGATTCTCTGCTATGAATAAACAATACATTTTAGTATGTCCCACGCGTTTTGTTATTATGAGATATATGTATATTATATATATATTTCCTCCCAGGTTCAAAAAAGAAAAAGAACATTCCGGGGATCTCGTAGTCTACAGGTTACGTTGTTTGCTTCTCATTAAATAAATAGGTCTCGGGTTCGAACCTGACCGTCAAAAGAAAATTATATTCTCTAAAATTTTCTCCTTTCCTGCTCTCTAACCACGTTTTTTTCATCTGCTTTTGTCCCCACTTTCTTCCCCCTTCCCGCTCCCCCCCCCCCTCCTCTGGGCTCCTGAATCTTTCTGCAGTCTTTCAGCCACACCCCTTATTTTAGGGTAGGTAAGGTCAAACACCTAGCCTTCTCGGATAAGGGCCAAAAAATGGGACTGGGTTCGTGGCTTAAAAGATTGGTTTAAAAACTGATCTGCCTAACAAGTAGTCATGATGTCACCAAGTGGTAGTGATGTCACTAAAGCATGTCCACAGAGGTGGTACTGATACATGACCCTTTGGCATAAGTTAAATATATAAGTAATTTCCTTAAATTTCTTTATCTTTCTTTTTTTTATTTGGTTACTTATTGTGCCCATACAAATGAAACGTTGACTTAGTTCTAAAGTGTTTCTAGTATCTGCAAGGGTAAAAATATTTGCAAAGCACATAGAGCATGCTAAAAAGCATGATGTGCACTATATAATAAGATTATTATTATTATTATTATTATTATTATTATTATTATAACTACTATTATAATATAATATTATAAAGCTGAATCCAAGAATGTTATAATAGTTATATATATATATATATATATATATATATATATATATATATATATATATATATATATATATATATATACTATTATAACATTCTTGGATTCAGCTGACAAGTACAGAAACATGTACGGAAGTTGTTACGTTCACCACCAGTCCACAGCATAACGGCCACATGTCGCCAGGAACCAATTAGGTACCCGGTATGATGTCGATGATGGCATGTACAGATTTTTAAAGTTAAAGTTAATTTAGCACCTTTTTCCAAGCAGAAAGGTGGGATCTCCTTTTTGGGGGGGGGGCAAGTGTTTTACGGCGCTCTCAACTGCATAAGTTCATCATATGAGCGTGCGGGACACATTAAACATTTTCAGCTGGTAGGAAATTTTAAATTTTGCCAGGGTGGCGGCCGAAGCCTACTTGTATCCATTTTAGACCACCAAGGGATATTTAAGGTGTGCAACTTGCTCACGGGACCTCCGAGATTTTTCGCCCTTGTCCAATAAGGCTAGGTGTAGATCTTTCCTACCAGAAAATCAGGGGTGTGACTGAAAGACAGCAGTAAGAAGGAGCCGAGGAGAAGCAGTAGAAAGGCTGCAGAAAAAGTCAGGAGCCCAGAGGAGGGGGCAAAGGAGGTGAGGGCAGAAAGTGGAGACGAAAGCAGACGACAGACCATAGCTAGAGAGAAGGAAAGGAGGTGAATGAAAGGAGACAATTTAAGAAAATTTTTCTGTCGCTACCCGGATCCGAACCCAGGACCTTAGAATGAGAGGCGAACACTTTAACCTCTAGACCATGCAAACCCCCGAGGGATCTCCAATGATTTATAATCCCCATCTCCTATAGGAGTGTCTGAGTGGACAGTGACTCATGAAAACACTCAATCTTCACACATTCTTGTCACTATTGATGTAGATCAATTAGGAGGCAGGCTCCCAACCCTGTCAGGGCTAACCCAGGCTGAAAGGGATATAACATCCGAGCAGAAAGACCCGAGATACCCAGTAAAAATATCTCCCAACTCAGGAATCAAACTCAAGGTCTCCTGCATGCCGCAGTACATGTCGTGTAATGCATCTACTTGCTACGCCACAAACACTGGTCTTCACATTCTTCACACATTCAGTTCCTAGCTCAAGAGAGCCCTGCATGGGATTTAAACTGGGATCCCCCAGACCCCAGTTCACGTTGAAGTATCTTTTAATATACTTTCTTCATAATAGACAGCGAAAGATCTTGTCAGTTTGTTAGTGTTTGAGCGCTTAATCAGCTGCTTGCACTGTATGCTTCCCGGGAAGCTGAGAATGTTTCGGAGTGTTCTATGGTCTGCTGTGGTAATAATATAGTGTAAAGCGCATAGAGCCTGCTGTTGAGCGGGGATATGTGCTATACAAATGCTATTTATTATTTATTATTATAAGAGTTTTACAGCACCAGCAGCACAATTAGGTGATAGAGGTGCCGAAGATTAGAGAGATGTTATTAGAGAGTAACAAACACAAAAAAAAGAACGGACAGATTAAAAGGAAGACAGATTTTTGGTAGCGGGAAAGAAGGAGCAAACCACACCAGAGCACCCGCCAACCACCCACTCACCAGGTTTAGTGAGTCACAAGGAACATGCAATTTTCTATTCTAATCATAGCTGTCTGCACTATCTACCCTTGCTCCCAGTCAAACAGTAAAATAAAGAGGGGGGAGGGAGGGGGGGAGTGTGTTGGGTGTGAATTATTCTGATTTTCCTAAAATTACAGTTTAAAAAATCTATCGTCCTCATCTCTCCTCCCTTTTTGTATTTGTTACTGTGTTACTCTCTAAAAACACCTCTAGTCTTCAACACTTACAGGTTATAATGCATGATGACCCATTTGAGTTGCAAATGCAGTAGAACTCTTGCTTAAACTAAAAAACATAACCAAATCAAGTAGAGCAAACCTTGCAATGCAGTAAAACTACATCAAGCCAGTATTTTTATCAATAAGCCAGTATATCATTAAGCTCAAATTGTACATTTCAAACTCGAGTATCCCCTCACATGTCTGGATCGATAACAACATCCCCTCACACGTAGGCCCAAAGAGCTTCAAAACCCTTCCTCTGACTACATAATCTACTTCATTCAATTTTAGCTTCCCCTACTCCTCTCTAAACCTTTAATAAATAATTGAAAAAATTTACGCCCATTCAAAAATCAACGCAACAACAGGTGAACTGTACTAGATTTAATTTTGAAACAACATGTTAAAATCACTAGTATAAACACATCTCTAATTTTAAGACTGTACATTGAAAAAAAAAAGTAATCACACAAATCAACCTGCAGATAGGTTTTGGATTTTAAGTTGAGGACAAACACACCCAGGGAAAAAATAGATTGATTTAATAGATTTAGGATGGAACGGAGAAAACAATACATTGATGGTGTACGTGGTAAGAGAATATAATCAGAAAGGTAACAAGGGTAGACTTTGCAAATTTTCTTCCTTAAAAAAAAAACCAAAAAAAAAAGTACAGATGAATATATACGCCAATACACAGATGCCCAAACACGCCAGACTAATTTGCTACTACGCAGATATGCACACGCTCACATCACGTCGCTTCGACTCAGTTGTACCCAGCACTTACTACCACAGACACAAGCACATCAAACTTTCCTCTTTTCCCCTCTAGGGAAGTCTTTTATCGTTTGTGCTTTTGTTGCTACTCATCTCTGCCGGAACTTGCAAAGAGCGCTAGAAGTAGAAGTCGTGTTTTGGCTTTCCCTTTCATCCAAATCACAGATTACCACTGACTGTTTCGCTTCATGAAAAAAAAAGTTGTTATCAGACAGCATTGATTCTCCAATTGAGGACCCATAATAAAATCAATCTTCAAACTTTTTATTGACTTTTGGAGAGCATGTATATCCTCGAAAACCTCTTTGTGTCTTGGTGTCAACAATAGCTTTTTCCAAAATCTGCGAAGCACTCAGCATTTCGAAGCGCAGATATTCCAGAGTCATTCTTGCCCTAACAAAATACAGCGTCTCACTTTCACTGGCTCGTCAGCACAACGTCTCTTCACTTTTCCCATGAGAAACAGGACAATGAACGGGATGAGCTTTGCACATCGGTTTTAATAAATAACATGGATGACTTTCAAAGAAAAGTAAGAGAAAAAAAATGTTTCCAGGGGAAAAATACTTCACATATTATTCTATGTACAAGTCTGACCTGTATCATCTTCAATGATAAAAAAAATGCAATATTACATGGTGTTGACATGGAGAAAAAAATTTTTAATTAAAAAACCCAACAACATCTGAATACTTAGAAAAAAAATGTGTAAAATATAGAATCATGTTAACAAACTTTTTTCAAGGCAGTTTTCTTCAATATCATAATTTGGTGTGTTTTTGCCCTCTCAGATATTGCAGATGTTGGTTTAATCAGCATTCCTGAGGTCATGTGATGAACCCACCGCCCACATGGCACAAAGGCCCCGGGGGGGAGGAGAGGAGGCGGTCATCAGGGGGGACTGCAGCAGAGATGACCAGAGCCAAAGTAGGAAAGATCATCTGTCTGTCTGTCTCTCTCTCTCTCTCTCTCTCCACAAGTTCCCACAGATCCCCCCCACTATCCACTTGATGCTTCCACAACTAACAAATTTACTATTTCACCATTATGGCAACCTTTGTCCGTAAGTCTTTGTAATGCATCTTTTCTCCCCCATTCTTGACTACCAAACCCAAAATAGCTTATATTTAAAAAAAATAAAATTTAAATTTAAAAAGCCTGTTACAAATCTCTAATCTACCCACTCGCCAACAACTGGTGCAGAGGCTGGCATGAGCGAATCCAAACAATAGTAATATATCACTACACTAAAACTTCTCTCAACTTCAGCGAGGATATAAAAACAGCTAGATCTATGACCGTACACTGGAACTAAGAGGGACCACGACACAGCCACATCAATCAACAGAACCTCCGCGGCTGGCCAGCACGGCTTCTCTTCTTCTCTTTCTCAGAATTCTTCATCAAACTGGCTAAACAACACAACAACAAAAAAACAACACTAAAAAAAAAGAAGTAAACACTTGAAAGCTGTCTACACTCTATTTGAAAAAAAGAAAATTAACGATCAAATCATGGCTTTGCCTTATTATATAATTACAAAAACGAAAGAATCCAAACCCAGAAGAAATGTGACAACTAAGCAGGGCCGTATCACTCTTCCAGCATCCCAGTCAATGCTGCCTAAGGGAGTTTATATGGGAGAGACATACAAAACTGGGACAAACCCAGCTCTTTGCTACATCTAGTCCTACTCCGAGGGGGAGAGGGGGTTGGGGGTGGTGGGGAGACAGGACTGGGAATGGGAAACAAGGGAGGGGGTAGGGGAAATGGATCAGAACATGAGAAAAAAGTAACCATAGGAAACTTTCAAGGTTTCACAAAAAAATATTTGAAAAAATTGTAATTCAAAAAAATTATCTACTAACAACACCAATCCATTGCAGGTAGGAAAAAACCTCTAAAACAACAAAATACTACAGGTATACTGTAAAATTTCTGATTTCTGCATACTTCAAGACCTGCATTCTTCAACAAGGAGAATATCAACAGAGTGTTCATCACGTCATCACATTATCATGTAGGGAGCACACTGCACGTAGGAGTGTAGGTTCAATCACTCCACGGCCAGATGCACAGTTACGACTTGCTCTGTCTGCTCTTGTTAATGGCTGTGATTTATTAAGTCGTTTTCATTCTTTCCACGACTCTTCCTGTTTTTTCCACTGCTCCCTCCCTTACTTATGGGTTCGAATAACCAACAGCTTTGATAAAATAAACCTCAGTGCGATGAACAACATTCGAGTCTTTTTTGTCACGTTCTATAGTGTTGCTGTCGTCGTCTTTGATCACAATTACTGAAAAGAACATTGTGCAAGCATAGAAGTGTATTTTCTTCCACTGTTCAATATGTTTTCTTTCTTCAAGAATTTGGGTTTTTGATTTCCACCAGAGAACACTCTATTTTGAAATGCAGGTTTTTAGATAATAATTAATAATATTTTCTCAAAACATCAACCACAGCCAGAGCAAGCCACTGACGTGTTCTGGTGTTCCGGAAACGACACACATAAAAAGTCCACAACATGGAAACAAGGGTAAACGACGGGAGGGCACAACGAACTTCTTCCACATTCTGAGGGGGAGGGGGCTGGACTCCCGAGAGACTAACGAGGCGCCTAACTAGGAGGAGAGCCTGGGGGGCTAGCTCTGGGGTCTACCATCTCCTGATGGTCTCCACGGTCTCCGCTGGTAGGAAATAAGTGGAGAAAAACACACAAATAGTAAAAGCTAATAGCAATCATTCAAACAAATTGTTTTACAACTCTGTAACTGAAGCTATAGAGGAGAAAACAACTCCTTTTTTCAAATATGCGTTGCAGTAAATTTCAAGGAAGGGATCCACATTAAAATAGCATTGCAACTTAATTTTCACTCATCACAGAAAAAAATTTCACATTCCTTTCAGAAGTTAAAATATCAAAAGAATAAAATCTTGCAAAAAGAAATTAACACATTCATTCTTTCTGGAGTAAATAATCTTATTATAATTTCCATCTGCTTTTCTTTTAGTCCTACAGTTGAGTGCAGTCACTAAATAAAAAATCTTTCACTTTCATAGATAGACATTCCACAGGTCAGAAATCAGGTTTTGCTGCACAAAGCTCTTAGAACAGGCTTGGGAAAACCTCCAACCATGGATTCCCACCAGGGGAAGAAACATCACAGCAGGGAAGGAAAAGTGCTCTCACACCTCAGACATGGTTACAGACAAGGCGGTCTGACCCCACCACACTCTCACAAGGACTGGGAGAGGGGGAGGGCCACACGACTACACGGAAAAAGTCCAGCTCACTAGAAACAAACCAGAAACAATTGCCCACAGACAACACGCTTGGAAAACAAACAGACAAACAAACGAATCAGCCCATCAGTAATGCTAGAGCAAATGCATGCTAGCCTAGACTACGCGCTGCAATTCTCTTATCCAAATTCCTTATTGGCACAAGTTTTAGTACAGTTCTTCAACCACAGAGTTTTACATGCTTGCACAGCTCCCATGTTTTGGCTGTTGCAAAAAAAAAATGAGTTCTTAAATTCCCCTGATAATCCGAAAAGAAAAAAAGTTGTTGCAAAAACAAGGATATTTGCTGCTCTGTTATAATACCAAGTCTGTGCACTGAATGCAACCGAAAACATTAGTTCTTTCAAACACCATTTAAATTGTTAGGAGTCAGACGATTTGATGGAAACTTTGTGACAGTAAAAACCTATTGGTTTGGAAAGTTCCGCATATGGTGTGGATCTTTCAACCATTCTCTTAGCTTATCGTTCACAGGGTACGAGAATAAAAAAAAACTTTTTTCACATCATGACAAATCAAGCAGCCATACGGCGCCGGGGACATCTGAAATTTGCATAAATTTTAATATTAATTAAACGCCTGCTGAGTGGGGAGGGCCTATCGTCCACTCCGACCACCGTGCAACAGCAACCAGGGGGCTCATTGGGGCCGTTATCGCAGCCAGACCCGACCAGGCAGGAGAGCATGACGCATGGTGCGCTACCGTCGCAGCCGGCAGACTGGCAGGAGTGACAGTAGCAGCTTTGGCGGTAGTGGCAGCGGCAGCAGCTATGGCGGTAGTGGCAGCGGCGGCAGCAGCAGCAGCTATGGCGGTAGTGGCAGCGGCACTGGCAGCAGCAGCAGCGGCGGCAGTGGCAGTGGCAGCGGCAGAGAACTGCAGCGGCGATTTGAAGATACACAGGGCAGAACATGGGCTAAGGAAGGAGGTAGCATCCACCAGGGAACGAAACGAGCAGATCTTCAGTGCAGATCAGAGAGTACACAAGATTGTCTTCATACAAGGGAACAAGTGGTTTCAAACAAAAATCTTGGGTTTTAATCAATGGACTTTTTAGGGTTTTTTTCTTCTTAAGTTTTATATGGTTCTTGTACGTCTTTCCGAATAGTACTATTTCCAATTCAGTTGTCATTTGTTTTTTAAGCATCTTTCATGAGACAGCTGTTGATGATGTGAAAGCTGTTGACGATTGCTCTCTCAAAAGAACCCAGGATAATCTGAAAATAATGACAAAAATCACAGAATATAAGAGACCCGATAGCACAGTAATAGCACATTGGCGTGACACAGCTACACAGACGAGGGACGGGTGAGGGGAGGAGGAGAGGGGGGGGGGGGGGGAACGTTTTATTTCTTGATGCTGCTGACCACAGACCAGCAATGTAGAAAGGAAGTAGTGACAGAAGCTGGTGAGGGTGAGAGGGGGTGGGGGTGTATTTGTGACAGAGAGCAAGCAATTCAAAATGAACCTGTTCACACATCACACATGAGAAAGAGAGGAGATAGAGAGAGGCAGGGGCTTAATGCACCTGGAGGCGGCAAAAAGTCTGGTGGGAAGGGGGGAGACAATTGCAATGGATCAGAAAGAGCTGTCCCAGTTGTTTTATGCAACAAAAATTCTGAAATTATGCAAACTGAGCCCAAAAATGTGAAATTATGAGATTCTGTTAATTTTAACAAAGAATGATAAAGGAAAATAATGAGAAATTATGCAGAAAATGATCAAATTTTGCTAAATTATGCAGGGTGCATAAAACCAGGGGGACAGAAGGGGGGGGGGGGGGGGAGACCCACCAGATGTAGTAAAAACAAAGCAAAAGCTGCAAAAACCAAAGATGCAGAAACTTTTTGTGTTGAGAGGGTCAGAGTCAAACAATGTTGGTTTGTGTCTTGAAAGACACGGAGTCATTGAGTCACACAGCACACATGATGTTATTGTGGACAGAGAGTACTTCACACCAGGGGTGGGAAATTGATGAGTGGATTAGTACGTACAGAGATACTTTCTCTTAGTATGGCCAAATTTTCTTTAGATACCTCAGCTCTACATCAGACACGCATACAGCATAACTTAGGTTGAAAAGGATACACTTTCGCAAACTCCCAGGACAATACATTACTTATTGATTACAAGCACCTTGTTATATGTATCTCTTAAGGCTCCTCTTTCATTATCAAACAAAATAAACAGAATACATAAGAAATTCTGTATATATTATTTATCTTTCAAACTAATACTTAAAAAGTAGCTGGAATGTATAACACAAAAAAAAAAGAACTAGATCTAGGCTTACAAAATTACAAAAACAGTTTCCACTTGCAGGGGGCAACAAAATACATGTTTCAACGTTTGCTCCTTAACTAAAGTAAACATCCATGCACCGGACATTTCCTGGTTCGAACTAATGTTATCTGTGTGCACCAATACTTAGCCTACCTAACAGTACCAGGCAACTACGCCACCAGAGTCACTTCAAAGTTAAGCCTCTGAATTCAAAATGGCTTGAGAGAATTCTTTAGGAAAATATTAAATTGTACCATTTACTCATTTCATCCTTATCTGAAAGAGATTAAGAATTTCTAAATGTCTTACAGCATACTTTTGTCATCTATGCTTGACAAAATTATAAGCTAACAGCTAGAGAACACTGCATTCAAAGTATATATGATCTTGAAAATACACTGTACTTTAAAATAAAATACAAATTGTAAAGTTAGCTCGAATACTTTTTTAGTCCGTTCAAAGCTAAAATAAGTCTTTGTTTCACTACCCGAGAAAGTGTATAGAAAAAGAAAAGAAAAACTACACAACAGCGTTAGACAATAAGACAGTAGATTCAAGTAGGCAAAAGAAAAAAACTGGTCCTTATGTCCCCCCACACATCCTCTGGTATACAGGTATGTGCCTGCTCATCCCTATCCTTAAGTCTATACCAGAAATGGGTACAGAACGTTAGTTAAGGAGCAGTAGGCCAGAAGGTTAGTCCTTACTTTTGCCAAAAAAAGAAAGGAAATCTAACACAAAAAACAAAACAAAAATTTGTACACCCATTAACGCACACACACACCCACATGTGTGACAATGTGTGTGTGTGTGTATGTATGTATACATATATATATGTGTGTGTGTGTGTGTATGTATACGTATGTGTGTGTGTATGTATGTGCGCATGCGTGTATGTGTGTGTGTGTATGCATATTATTATATGTTTGTGTGTGCGCGGGTCAGATGTTTTGTGTATGTGTGTTTGTGTATGTTGTATATGCCAGTCTGATTTTCTTTTTTGCAAGCATATCATGTGAATGTGTGTGCCTGTGAATACATGTGTATGTGTGAGCGTGTGAATACACGTGTATGTGTGAGCGTGTGAATACATGTGTATGTGTGAGCGTGTGAATACATGTGTATGTGTGAGCGTGTGAATACACGTGTATGTGTGTGCTTGTGAATACACGTGTATGTGTGTGCGTGTGAATACATGTGTGTGTGTGAACGTGTGAATACATGTGTGTGTGTGTATGCGTGTGAATACATGTGTGAATACATGTGTATGTGTGTGCGTGTGAATACATGTGTGAATACATGTGTATGTGTGTGCGTGTGAATACATGTGTGAATACATGTGTATGTGTGTATTCACGTGTAAACTACACAGAACATACCCTGAGCCTGTATATATATATACCACCATGCCATGCAGTGTTTGGTGCAGTCACAAGGTGCAGCGAGGTGAGCATGCAGAACAAGGCATCAGCCTGGATGTGACAGGCTGAGTTCACATGTCACATGCACTGACAGTTGGGCTACATGATATACAAGGGGAAGCTCTACAGCTGTTCCAGTGTTCGTTATATTGAAGGCTGAAGTCCTTTATTAACCGATACATCGTCAAAGGAGAATTCTAGGCGTCATGCACAAGCTTGAATCTATATAAAGTTCAGTTAGAACTTATTATCGTAAAGGAAGCCAGAAGTGTGAAGGATTTCGACTGTTTAGTGTAAGAAGACTCCAACATACGCCATTTTGAAAAGTGATGTATTTATTGAAAAGTGATGTATTTTGAAAAGTGATGTATTTTGAAAAGTGTTGTATTTTGAAAAGTGATGTATTATGAAAAGTGTTGTATTTTGAAAAGTGATGTATTTTGAAAAGTGATGTATTTTGAAAAGTGTTGTATTTTGAAAAGCGATGTATTTTGAAAAGTGATGTATTTTGAAAAGTGTTGCATTTTGAAAAGTGATGTATTTTGAAAAGTGATGCTGTGCTGATCTGAGGGATATCAGGCTATTATATCAAGCCAGTGTTAACATTAGATGCAAACCAAACCAGCCTGGTTGCTGACTGTTATGTCGAGCTGAAAGTGACCAGTGTGTGCATGTGTAAGT